ACTGTGTGCCCGCCATCGCCGTGTGCCCGCCATCGCCGTGTGCCCGCCACCGCCGTGTGACTGTCACCACTGTGTGCCCGCCATCGCCGTGTGCCCGCCATCGCCGTGTGCCCGCCACCGCCGTGTGACCGTCACCGCCGTGTGACCGTCACTGCCGTGTGACCGCCATCACCATGTGACCGTCACCGCCGTGTGACCGCCACCGCCACGCCTGGCCCTGGCCCCCAGGCCTGACCTGCAGCAGCAGCCGCGCCTCCATCGCCTCCTTGCAGGTGATGAAGTAGGGCTTCATCAGCAGGATGTCCTGGCGCAGCTTCTGCAGGGACAGGATGGGATGGGGTGGGAATGGGAGTGCGTGTAGGGGCAGGGATGGGACAGGAAAAAGGGCAGTGACAGGGGCAGGATGGGGACAGGGGCAAGGATGAGATGGAGACAGTGTGAGAACGGGACAGGATGGGGATGGGGACAGGGACAGGAATGGCATGGGGTGGGAATGGGATGGGATGGAATACAGACAGGAATGGGGACAGGAATGGGAGTAGGAATGAGGACAGGGATGAAATGGGAGTGGGGCAGGAATGGGAACAGGAATGGGGACAGAGATGGGGACAGGAATAGGACCATAGGGCAAACAGCAATGGCAGGGGCAGGATGAGGATGGCGACAGGGATGGGGTTGTTAACGGGATGGAGACAGAAGCGTGACAAGAAAAAGACCAGATGGGTCACGTTCATTTCTGTTGCAGTCTGGGCACCCTCTGTCCCAAACCCCCCACCTCAGTTGCTTCCTCTCTGTGGGACCCAGTGGGTGCCACTGGGGTCTCCCCACCTCCTGCTCACCCCACAGCCCCTCTGTGGTGTCCCCTGCCCTTGTGGGGTCCTCCCCAGACCCAGCACTCACCCGGATCTCCACCAGCTCCTCCACGTAGTTGAAGAGTAGTGGGTTGATCTCCCGCAGCTTCAGCACCGGCCGTGACACCATCAGTGCCAGGTACCTCATGCTGCAGCGCGACACCTGCCAGGGCCACCGTCACCCCCCGCACCTGCCAGCCCTGCCACCACCCACGGAGCCCTGCCAGGGACCTGTCACAGGGACACGGCCCTGGGGACACGGCCCTGGGGACACGGCTTCCCCTCAAGTGATCTCCACCCAGTGATCCCCATAACCAGGGACATGGCCCCCATGAACAGGGATGTGGTTCCCCAAGTGACATCTACACAAGGCCGTGGTCCCCAAGGACATGCAAGATCAGGGATGGGATCCCCCCAGGTGACCCCACCAAGGGACGTGCTCCCCAGGGACCCCCAGGACCAAGCGCATGACCCCCCAGGTGGCCTCTACCCAGGGCCACTGTCCCGAGGGACTTTGGTGACACCCCAGGGTGTCCCCACCCCATGCCAGGGGCACCTTGCGGGGCTCGAAGTCCCAGTTGTGGATGGCACGGGCGGGCACCACGGCCAGGTCGTTCCAGTGGCAGCTGGAGCAGTAGTAGAGGCCGGTGTAGTCGCACTGCCGGGCCTCGCTGGGCACCCCCCCTGTGGTGGCACAGGGCTGGCATGGGGCTGGCACTGGCACCCCCCTGCTCTCTGCTCACCCCACACCCTGTGTGTGCCCCCAGGACACCCAGAAACACCTGGGGACACGGCAGGGCCCCAATGTCACCTTCCTCAGATCCCCGTAACTCCCAGCCCCCAAAGCCCAAAGCTTCAGCTCCTACCAGCCCCACACACCTCCCAGCCCACAGCCCCTCAGCCCCAGGCAGCTCCTCCAGCCTCACAAAGCCCCCCTCTCAGTCCCACAGAGCTTCATGGAGCCCCCAGTCCTACACCCCCCAATCCCACAGAGCTCCCAGCTCATCCCAGCTCCACATCACCCAACCCCACAGAGCCCCACA